CTCTGCCTGTGTCTCTGTGTCTCTTGTGAATAAATAAATAGAATCTTTTAAAAATAAATAAAATAAAATCTTTAAAAACAAAACAAAAACAAAGAAAGTCTCCAAAAAGTGTATGCTCAGGTCCTAGTCCCCTGTACCTGAGACTGTGGCCTTGCTGGGAAGTAGGGCCAGTGTACAGGTAGTTTGCTAATACAAGGTCATACTACTGGGAGGGCCTTCAATCTACCACTCATGTGCTGTCAGGAGAAGAGGAGACACCTGAGGAAAGGGGGTCATAAGACGACACAGGCAGAGAGTAGGTACATCTGCAAGCCAAGGGCCGCCAGCAACACCAGGAGTTGGAAGAGGCAAGGAAGGTTCCTCCCCTACAGGTTTCGGGGGGGCGTCGCCTGCTGACACCTTGAATTCAGACGTACAGCTGCCAGAGCCATCAGAGAAATAAATTTCTGTTGTCCTAAGCTACGCGATTCCTTGTATTTTGTTAGGGCAGCCCTGGGAAATTAATATAAGGTAGAAATGAAGAACTGAGGAGTCACAAATACCTCCTCTTCTTTTAAAGATTTTATTTATTGGAATGCCGGGGTGGCTCAGCAGCTGAGCCCCTGCCTTTGGCTCAGGGCGTGATCCCCGTCCAGGGATCGAGTGCGCATCAGGTTTCCTACAAGGAGTCTGCTTCTCCCTCCAGGTCTCTGCCTCTCTGTGTCTCTCATGAACAAATAAATAAAATCTTAAAAAAAAAAAGATTTTATTTATTTATTTGACAGAGAGAGAGAGAGTGCAAGTGCAGGGGGAGCAGCAGAGGGAGAGGGAGCAGCAAACTCCCAGCTGAGCAGGGAGCCCATGGGGGGCTTGATCCCAGGACCCAGGATCATGACCTGAGCGAAAGGCAGATCCTTCACTGACTGAGCCACCCAGGAGCCCCACAAAAACCTCTTGATTTGGAAGCAGCACCAACTAAGAAAGAGAAAATATATGGCTGTGCTCCGTGAAACCTCTTCTGCCCACCTCATGGAAATGGAGGAAGAAAGACAAGGCCCTGAGTCCCTCAGAGAAACCTTCCCTCCCCTAAGAAGTAAGACCTAATCAGATCCTGAGGGGAGGTAGGAGGAAATCCTGTTTCCTCCATCCTGAGCCTTTTAGCACCTCTCTGCCTCCCATACTATAAAAGGTACTAGACAGGTGTTTTCACATCCATGATCTCATTTAATGGTCACGACCATCTGTGTGACGGAGAAAGAGGGCAGGTATTATCATCCCCATTTTACACACAAGAAAACTGAGGCTCAGGGATCCCTGGATGGCGCAGCGGTTTGGCGCCTGCCTTTGGCCCAGGGTGCGATCCTGGAGACCCGGGATCGAATCCCACATCGGGCTCCCGGTGCATGGAGCCTGCTTCTCCCTCTGCCTGTGTCTCTGCCTCTCTCTCTCTCTCTCTCTCTCTCTCTCTCTGTGACTGTCATAAATAAATAAAAGAAAAAAAAAAAAAAGAAAACTGAGGCTCAGATGAGGTCACGGGCTGCCCATGGACAGGATGACCCTTCCAAAAAAAACTTGAGTGGACAAAGCAGATTTTCAAAAGAGGTGAGATGGGGGTGAAATCCCATCTGAAAAACAACAACAACAACAACAACAACAGTAACAACAAGTTAAACAAAAGTGCTAGACACCTTCCGTGTCCAAACCAAATCAAAGGGGCCTTGAAGCGCAGCCCCTGTACCTTTTTCTGAAGGTAGCGGCATTCACGCAACGTGGATGGAGACACAATCTGCCAATTCTCTGGCCAGCTTTTGACATTCAAGTATCTTTGAGTAAAAAAAAAAAACAAAAAACAAACGAACAAACAAACAAAAACCAAACCAAACCTGAACGTGTCTTCCAGGCCCGGGATATAAGGAGTCTGCGCCCCTCTCCCCATGTGCTCTACACTCCTCAAGCACTTGCTGTGTCACCACGCGGCCCCCGCCCAGTGGTCACCTGCACCGGGATGTGCTCTCCTGGAGCTGGACTCGAGGGTCCGAGAGGCTGGAGCTCTCCCAGGCTGTGTTCAACGGCCCCGATGACCGAGTGGGCTATCCCAAGGGACGGCAGGTGTCCCGGAAGAGGACGGGACAGAGAGGGTTAAGCTGGAAAGCACTGGAGATAAGGACTCTGGGCGGAGAGCTGGGACTCTAATCAGCTGCCTTTTCCAAATATTTTAATCTTTCCCCTCTGGAAAACACCCAGTCGCTGGCCACCGAGAACACTCGATTTCTTCTTTGCAGCCAAGATCTCAGGCACACAGGCCCCGGGACCAGCCACCAACCCCTCCGGGGTGGGGACGCCAGGCCGCGGAATGCCAGTCCACATTTTGTCAGCTTGAAAATATTAAACACCACTGAACAAAATGTAAGGTTTCTTTTTCAGACTTAAACGTCTACTTATTTCAAAATGAATTAGTGGTTCTCTGGGTTTCATAATGTTTAATTCATTAATGATAACTACAGCTCGAGAATTTGAAAGGAAATTGCTTCCAGGATAAAATTAAATGCGAAACTCTAAGCAGTGATTCATGGCTGTTCCTATCTAAATTACTAATCCGTGTGACAAACCTGGTTGGCAGCACAAAAAAAGCAATACTATTTCCCCCCGTTGCCTTTATAGACTTTGCTGAATTGTTTTGCAAACTGCCTAAACCCAAGTCCTAGATAATCCCCTGCTGGCAGCCTCCATTCCAGAGTGGGGTTCCGTACCCAGAGTCCCCGCTGCCTCGGAGAGGCTCCTAATGGACTAATACTTTCGTGTCTCGGAAAAGAGTTTTCTCAACATTAGGGTTTAGACGTATAATCCAATGGATTTTAAAAGAAACTCATTTTAAATTAAAGGCAAATATCCCCATGATATCTGTCCGCATCTCCCCGAAGAAACCTGCATAAAACTAAAAATGGCAATTTTCTTTTAGTTTGCAAGGAAGCCTAGCCAGCTGAGATCCAATTACGTATCTCCCCGTTAGAACAACTGGGGCACTAGAGTCACCGTGTCGCCCAAAAGACAAGATAATAGAAGGCTTCTGAAGTTGCATCAAGCCCAAGCTCCTCAGCCTCCTGAAATTTCTCTCGTGTCTCTTCCTGCCACCACCGCCCAGCAGGCCAGGCTCACGACGTGGGGTACAGAGGAGAAGCAGGCAAAGATACTGCTGACCACACACAGCCCCCCTCCAAAAGAACTCAGGCGACCAGCATCCCCCAGGGCACATCTCTGCAAACTGCTGCCAGACTGTCACATAAAAGCCCTGCAAACCAGGTCCCCCGTCTCCTGGCTGTGTCACACGCCAACCATCCTGTGCGCTGCTCCTCCGTGGCAGGTCACATCCCCACCAGCCCTCAGGGGTGCGATTCTGTGCCAGGGATTTACATATGGTGACTCCTTTATCCTTGGGACAACTTGGGGAAGGTGTCCTCATTGTCCTCATATAGCAGAGCAAGAGATGGTGGCAAAGACGTTCAAAATACCTGCCCAAGTTCCAGAGCAAGTAGTTGGCAGAGCCAGGATTCACACCCACGCTTTCTGCCCAATTTCCCAGGCTTTGAGCCATCTGATGGGGCCACAGCACAGCTCAGAATATTCTACTCACTCCCTACTACCAAGGGAGCAGGGCCCACACGGCCACCAGGCTCTATGGGTCCTTTGGGGATTCGGCTACATTTCCAGCCTCGTCTCCAGCTACCTCCCATTCCAGCTTTTCCAATCTATGGCACATGCTCTTCCCTCCACCTCTTCTCCTGGGACAGCCGCCAAGTCTCCCTTTGGGGTCTCTACTCCCCGCCTTTATGCCCTGGAGTGCCAAGCTCATTCCTTCGGCTTCCTACTGACGCTGGGGGTGCACGTTCCTCTCCCAGCCACAGCTCTGGCTTTTCTCCGACCTGCCCCCTGGGTTCCCACAGCTCAGCAGGGCCACGGTGACGTTCTGGAACCTTTGGAACTAATGAATGTGCTACAGCAAATCAACAGCAACACCTAAGAAAGAAAAAAAAAAACCCAAGCAGCAGGCTCGGGGCTTGTCCCAAAATGACTCAGTTAGTTCCCTGATGAGTGAAGGCAAGGAGAAGGCAGGACTTTCGTGAACTTTGTAAAAGCATATTTTTTCCAATCAAGCATTCAAACGTTGCAACCACATGAAGGCTAGAAAACCTAGCTATCTGCTCACTAGCTAGTGGCTTTCCGAAACAAGCCTGTTTTGGATTTCAAACCAACAAGAGATAATCTTCAGAATGGGAACTCAAGAGTTACCCACGCAGGACAAAAGCAAGGAGATGGCAAACTGAATCCACGACTCAGACTGGTTTTTATGGTTGCTTCTGAGCAGCAGGAGGGGGAGTGAAGAGACGTGTGAATTTTTTAATTTTAAGGAAGGAGTGTGTGCAACCCCTGCAGCTCTTCTGTTGCCCCCACCATGGGGTGAAGGGATGTAAAGCGGGCTCGACTGCCCCTATTCAAGGTCTTACCAGGTGGGCACCCATTCCTGACCATGAACTGGGCTTCACACAAACCCCAATACCATCAGCAATGCAGCATGAAAAGCGAACAGTAACTCACAGCAATCATTTAAAATATAAAATAGGGCAGCCCCGGTGGCTCAGCGATTTAGCATCTGCCTTCTGCCCAGGGCCTGATCCTGGAGACCCTGGATCGAGTCCCACATCGGGCTCCCTGCATGGAACCTGCTTCTCCCTCTGCCTGTGTCTCTGCCTCTCTCTCTCTCTCTCTCTCTCTCTCTCTCTGTCTCTCATGAATAAATAAATAACATCTCTTAAAAATAATAATAAAATAAAATATAAAATAATACTCCTAAACCCCATACAATGCTTAGGAATGTCCAATGCACACAAACTCTCTGGGGAATCCTGCAGTACTGTGAAAATACACAAAATGCACATAAAAATACAACTCTACTGTTAGGTAAAATTAACCTAAAACTAATATGCTAGCTAAAACACAGTAAACATTAAATCAGTTTTGCTCACCTTCTTAGAACTCAATGGGCCCCAGGGGGTGGTGGCAGGTGTGAGATTTGGATGCGGGAGCCTCCTTAACAAAACCCAAGGAGATTCATGGTAATGGGTGGAGCTGGGTTTTTGTCATCTCTCCCCATTTCCCTTGTGGCCAGCACAGGTGTTCAGAGGGGGCCCGCTGACTACAGCGGGGGGGCTCCAAGTGTCACTGCAAGTGTACAACACTGGGTTCAGAGGTGTTTTCCTCCCAGGGAAAAGTTGTTTTAAGATTTTATTTATTTATTTGACAGAGAACAAGAGAGCACAAGCATGTGGAGTGGCAGAGGGAGAGGGCTGAGCAGGAAGCCCGACGCGGAACTCGATCCCAGGACCCCGGGATCATGGCCTGAGCCGAAGGCAGGCGCTTAACCGACTGAGCCACCCAGGAGCCCGGGGAAAAGCATTTTTAAAATATTTTCTAATATTTCTCTCTCCCCCCAGCTTATTCAAGGTCTCAGACCCCACAGCTGCCCAGTGTCAGCTCAGAGAACACAGGATGGAGGCGAGCAAAGCCCGATCACCATTAGCTGCCCCTGGAGGGCACTTAGCTGCCCTGGGCATCCGGAAAAGCCACTTCAGGTCACAAGGAAAGGTACAGGCTTTACAAGCAACTTCGAAGCTGTCCACTAAATGAGTGAAAAAGCATAAATCAGCATTGTGCCCTGTAGTGATGTGGAGGAAAGAGGCAGAGCAGGAAAGCGTGTAGGAAAGTCAGGAGCAGGCCTTACAAAAGCAGCTGCGTGAAAAGGTCAGTGATATACAGGAGGCTTCGCAGGTGACTTACAGCGGGTTGATAAAGGACTGCCTATACCTGAGGTTCTCAGGGTTCCCGCTCTATTTTGGTTTCCTAAATAGAGGAACCAAAAGTTTTCACTGTTTATAAAAAGGACAGGTCTTGCATAAGCATTTGAAATTTTAGAAAAGATTTTTTTTTTTTTAGAACATTCTAACACCTTGCAGGTAATCTTTAGTTCTTAAGTTCTCCATTTCTTTGTAAGTAGGACTAGCTAAAGGAAGCCCCGGTCTTCACCATTTCAACTACCACAAAATTCTAATTAGTGAAATCCGCAGAAATGGGAAATCTCGGTCTTCAAATTTTAACTGCTAACTATACCATAATGATAGCAAGACGAAATGAGAAAGTTTGTAAGCATAGGACTTCGAACAGGAAACCACGACAGTGACAGTGTAACCAGGGTTCACTAGAAGCATTTGTATTTTCTGGTAGAGACATGCGTGGAGCTTGTTGACTCTGAATTTAAACCACGGGGAAAAAAAAAAAAAAAGAGGGCAGCCCGGGTGGCTCAGTGGTTTAGCATCACCTTTAGCCCAGGGCGTGATCCTGGAGACCTGGGATCGAGTCCCACATGGGGACCATGGATCGAGTCCCAATGGAGCCTGCTTCTCCCTCTGCCTGTGTCTTCCATTCTCTCTCTCTCTGTCTCTCTAAAAAAAAAAAAAAAAAAAAAAGAAAGAAAAAAAAGAAAAGAAAAGAAACATGGGTAAGTCTATCAACCCAAGGAAGGCCTCATCGTGTATCTTGTCATCTCATATCTTTCCATTGCTCCTAAAAAACCTTGCCTGGTCTTGGAAATAATTTGGAAATACGGAAATATTGTTTTATTGGACCTCATCTGACACTAATCCCCTGCTTTTAGGATTATAAAGAGGCTGGAGTGGGGGAGTGGGGCTCAGAGCGCAGCGGGAAGCCCTGGGTGGCCAAATGTCATTGCAGCCATGGCTTGGCCTACACACTCCAAAAGAGAAAACAGGCTTTCCGGATCAGTGTCTGAGGATGGGATTTATCACCACAAATAAACTCACGGATGGCATTTTTAAAAATCTTCATGTCAGACATTTCATCTCCTCGTCTCCCACACCGCTTTTTTCTATGAAGTGACCTCACCTGCTCGGGTTTTCTTCTGCCCAAGGAAGAGAAGTGTGCAGTGTTCTCACGGTCAGGGCCCTCGGCCCCTGGCTCTCCACTGCCTGCTTGCTTCCCCTTCAGGAAAGACTTCCCAGCCCTGCCTTCTGCACGGCTCCAGAGCCCAGGCTGGGGTCTGTGGCTCAGCCGACGATGACCCCAACGCCACTACTCCCTGTAGGCTTTGCTTTGGGATGTCACTCTTCTTTCTCTCCTCCTCCTCCTTTTTTTTTTTTTTAAGGAGGTAGATAGTTGAAGAGTTCTTTTAAGGTTAACCAAGAAGGAGTAAGGACCAAAGTCCTATTTTCCTGCCAGCATGTTTGGAGACCTCACGTCCTCAGATCCAAGAAAAAGAAAAGTGAAGCCAAAGTAAGGGGCCAGCTCCATACAAGGCAAAAACGATCCAGGTTAAATTGAGTGCTTCGCGGCCTGTGTCTGCGCCTCCCCTCCTGCCCTGGTTTCCTGCTCAAGTCAGTCTTCCCACCACCCCATCCCCGTCTCAGTGGGGCCAATCTGCCTGGATGATGTTACAACCTGTGGTCTTCTTCACGCTCCCTCCATCGGGCCCGCCCACTCCCCATCTGCACCTGCTTCCCAGCAGGGCTGGCGGACACTTGCACAACACCCTAGGGAGGTGATTGTTTTCCTTCACAAGGGCGCTCGCATTTTAGCAAAGGATTCAGGGACATGAAACCCAAAAAGGAAAAGGAAGGGATTTATAATGAACTGTCTACGTCCCAGCTTCAGAACCGAGACGCAGCATTTAATTTTTCTGGGCCTGCCTCTGGCTCCTGCCTCGGAGGGTTGTTCTGATAATTAAGTAAGCAAACCTATACGGAATACTTAAAACAGCACCTGACACCTCGCAAGGGCTTCTACCCACATCAGTTTTAGGAACCTTCTCCATGACCTTCTGAAATAAATACTACTGGTCTCGTCCTACATGAGGACACAGAATGGCCTGCTCAGGATCACAAGGCAGATGAATGAGCAGAGTAGGGATATAGCCCACAGTCTACCGAGCGACCCACAACCCCTGCTGTTTTTATCACAGCCCAAGGAATGAATCTCTAATGGTAAGACCATGAACACTCTGCAGGCCTGTGGGGCGAGATCCCACTGAAGGGGTCCTGTGGTGTGCTGATGGGGGACTATCAGAAGGAAAGGATGGGGCGCTGGGGGAAGTATTGAACAGCGCAGCCTGTCCTGCCAGGGCTAACACAAAGCCCACCTCTGAACCCCAGACCTCGGTCTACCAGTTCACCTCACTCAGGCTCTGTTTTTCCTGACTATAAAATGGGACATAAAAGGTACTTGGGATGTTGCAAGCTCCTGACCCCTGGGGGTGCTCAAGGCAGAAAATAAAACCTCTTGTGAAGGAAACTCCAGAAAGGGAGTAAGTCCTACAAGTGAGGGCAGCAAATCTGGGGATTTAAGTTACTTCCAATGTTAGAAATCAAGGCTTTGGGCAGCCCAGGTGGCTCAGCGGTTTAGCGCCGCCTTCAGCCCAGGGCCTGATCCTGGAGACCCGGGATCGAGTCCCGCATAGGGCTCTCTGCATGGAGCCTGTTTCTCCCTCTGCCTGTGTCTCTGCCTCTGTCTCTCATGCATAAATAAATAAAATCTTAAAAAAAAAAAAAAGAAATTGAGGCTTCACTGAACAACAGGCTGAAAATTAACAATGCTTAAAAAAAAAAAAAAAAGGAACAGAGCCAAAAATATTACTAATAGCCCTGGTGATATCTGGTTAAAAATTCTGAATTACGTCTGGGCAGTCTAATTTTTTATCTCCACAGTATTCCTGAAAACTCACCTATTTCCATTATAGGTTACAAATCCATAATTAGGCCTCTTTCCTTTCTGGCTGTTCTACATTTGAAAAGCATTCACTATTCATTCCACTGAAGCGGACTTCCCTCAAAATAACCTCATTACTCTATACTTGCACAATTATGTCACGGATGTAATTACCACCATCATGATTCCAGCGGCTATTTGTTGCACCATAATTTCCAGATGAATTTCTAGTGTAGAAATAAAATAGCCACAATAAGATAATTAATTACAACTCAATTATGACTACAGCACAGTGACCAAAATTAAAACTCTGAAAGTTTTAGTATTTCGTTTTTAATATCATGTTCATCTTTGTAGCCAGCAAATAATTACTATAAAGACGCTTATTGTTAGTATATTTTGTTTCTGATAGCAGCTGCTTTCTTCGTGTACTTTTCTATAACTACTACTGCAAAGTTTGGAAGGACCACCATATCGCGATGGTTGGAGGACCAATGCTACTACTAATCAGATTCAGGGTTTGCATGCTCCTTTTGCCCCTTGGGAGCATAATCTTGACCAAGCTACCAACTTTTTTGGGTCTCAGTTTGCTCACCCAAAAAAATGGGCTACAAACAGAACTTACAATTATTGTGATAATTAGGTTAGGTAGCTTATATAGAGATTTGCAAAATGCTTTGGATTCAGCTACTGCCAAGTAAAGTTAGAAATTCTTTAACATATAAATTCCATTCAAAGATATTCAAAATTTAAAATTTTACTCAAGAAGAGGCACCTGGGTGGCTCACCTGATGGTCTACCTTCAGCTCAGGTCATGATCTCAGGGTCCTGGGATTGAGCCCTGCGTCAGGCTCCCTGCTTAGCAGGTAGCCTGCTTCTCCCTCTCCCTCTGCCTACTGCTCCCCTTGCTTGTGCTCTCTCTCTCTCTCTCTCTGTCAAATAAATAAGATCTTTAAAAAATAATAAAATTAAGGGCAGCCCCGGTGGCGCAGCAGTTTAGCGCCGCCTGCAGCCTGGGGTGTGATCCTGGAGATCCAGGATTGAGTCCCACGTCAGGCTCCTCCATGGAGCCTGCTTCTCTCTCTGCTTCTCTCTCTGCCTGTGTCTCTGCCTCTCTCTCTCTCTTTCTCTATGAATAAGTAAATAAAATCTTTTTTAAAAATTTAATTTAATTTAAAAAAATAAAATTTTACTCAAGGGGCACCTGGCTGGCTCAGTAGGTGGAGCATGTGACTCTTGATCTCAGGATCCTGAGTCTGAGCCCCACATTGGGCAAAGAGCCTACTTAAGCAAGCAAGAAAACAAAAGAAAAGAAAAAAGAGAAAAAAAAAGAAAAGAAGAAAAAATTTTACTCAAAATGTTGTCACCTCCACACGTAAACACAGGTAGGCCTCATATGGTACAAGAGCAGGGCCCCCACCGTTTGCTTTTTTTCTGCCAATTGTACTCAATTCGTTCTGAACATCAGTCCACCTGATGTAGTCTCTGAAGGAATAAAGTTCCTTCCCAGAACCCAGAGAAAGCAGACTCATTTTCCGAGACAGTGGAACCGGCTAGAGCAAAGCGCCAGGCAGCAGATCTCAACTAATTGTCACTGATGATACTAGAGTTTTTGAGGCCGATGGCGCAGAGATTGTATTAGTAAACAGACCTCACAAACAGAAATGAA